AAATGCAACTTTAATGGCGGGACCAATCATTAACAACGCACTACCTAAGCTAAGAGCAGCAGCACCACTCTTCCATGGCCTTATCCACACTTTCTCCGCCATCTCTGGCCACTATCCCCGCCGCCTCGGCACCCAAGCTCGGACACCCTTCCGTCGCCGCCGTACCTCTCCGAACTGACCTCCGGAAAGAACGCATCTCGACGACCGCCGCCGGCAACTTCGCTCCTCTGCCGACAGATCCGCATAAATGGAGGACACGTGTCTCCTTCTTTTCTGGTTTACTGAACAACAACAGGACAGAAAATCGAGAGGCCATAAAAGAAGAGCTTCTCCAAGCCATTGCTCCCCTCGATCGTGGTGCTGAGGCCACCCCTGAAGATCAACAAATCATTGACAAGGTTAAATACAAGACTTAATTTTAAACCTAATTGATTTTATTTTTATTTTTTCTAAATTTTTCTTTTATTGTGCAAGTAGTTGTAGCAATTGGTCAAAAGTTGGATCTTAAAAAAGAGAAACGGAAAATAGGAGCAAGTATTAGCTTTCATTTGAGAACTTATCGTGCAAATACATGTAACTTTCCCCAATTAATATGAGCTTGCTGTACTAAAGAACTGAATCTATTCGAAGGATTTTTCTTTAAAAATGGCGCACCTTAGCTTGTTATTTTGCTTTGAACAATTCCAAGGAAAGTTTATTCGAAAAATGTGTTTAGTTGTGCTGCGAGCCTGCGATATCATAATGCTCTATGTTTAAGTAAATCATTTCTCTTGTTTTGTTCTCAACTTTATTCTTAGCTAGATAGCTCGGAAGCTGGAAGCTGTTAATTCAATAAAAGAACCGCTCAAGTCCGATTTGCTCAACGGGAAGTGGGAACTCATTTACACAACTTCAGAATCCATTTTGCAAACAAAGGTGAATACTTCTTTTGACATTCTATCGTTTTCAAGAGTCTATTGTGGCACAAACTAATTCATAATTGTAAACCACTAAACCAGGCTTGGATTTGGCATACACTCATTTATGTTTAGCCATTAGTTTACTCCTCTTCTCTTTTTGCTTTTGAGCTTGTGTTTTACCATTCTGAACAGAGACCCAAGTTTTTAAGATCTCGAACAAACTTTCAAGCAATTAATGCTGACACTCTTCGAGCTCAGAATATGGAGTCGTGGCCATTTTTCAATCAGGTGAGTTGATTTTCTAATGTCTATAACTTCATTTCGTCTAGTCGGCATTGTATGTCTATTTTCTCTTCCTTTCCTTTTCTCATATTTTAGGGGTGCATTAGTAATCTGGATAAAAATGCTGTGCCCATATTCTTCCAGTGTCATCTATCTTATCTGATGATATGTACATATGCATATTCTCAGGTTACTGCAGATTTAACGCCACTAATGGCAAATAAAGTGGCTGTGAAGTTCGATTACTTCAAGATTGGTGGTTTGGTAAGTCGTGTCCTGGTCTGATGTAAGTCTGTTAAAGGATAGGAGTGTGCTTGATTGCTCGTTAACATCATTTTTCATGAAAGTTCAATATCCATGTCTACAAATGTCTACAAAATGCTTAATTACAAAAATCTTTTGAACAGATACCTGTTAAAGCTCCTGAACAAGCTCGAGGTGCACTGGAAATTACTTACTTGGATAAAGAACTGAGGTAAGACACAGGAAGGCTACCGTGTTTTCTTGTTGCAAGGAAGCACAATTTGTGCCTCGAAATTATAACTATGTTTGAAATTGTACAAATTTTATGAAAATTGGTTGCGATTTGTGCAATTAGACTAAACCGTATATTGTTTTGAACCCATAACTACTTGAATTTTAGCCCTTTTTTTTTTCTGCCTCAACTCATAACGCACTCTCTTTTACTTTGTTATTTGTATCTTTTTCCACTTTGATGTTGCAGAATATCAAGAGGGGACAAAGGCAATCTCTTCATCTTGAAAATGGTTGATCCCTCTTATCGGATCCCTGCTTGATAATGACTTTTATTTCCCGCGCTTGTTAAATCATTTCCCGCGGTGGATTTGAATTTCTCATTTCTTGCACTCTCGATCGAGTTTGTGGTGTTTTCTGTATTGAATTTATTGCACTCTCGATGGAGTTCGTGGTGCTTTTTTTGTACATTCATGTAATATGGATAATAAGATATTGGAGAAAAAAACAATATACTATTAACATAAAGAGATTATCATTAGATTAACATTTGACTATGTGTGACTATGGTAAATTATTAGCGCAAAAGGAATAATCCATTCATTAGAAAGTACTCCCTCCGTTTTTTATTAAATGTCGTTTTAATTTAAAACTTCTAAGTTACGATTTTAATGGGTTGTGTAATAATCTTATCTTTTAATCTTATTAAATTTAGTTTTTGAATTATTAATGGGTGGTTTTTAAAGATAATGATAAGAGATAATGTTTGTTAAAGAGAATAAAGATGTAAGAATGAATATAATATTTCCAACGACAATTTTGCAAAAAAGTTGACACCCTACAACGACATTTAAAACGAAACAGAGGAGTATTCATTACTGAATACAAAGTATTTTCGTAAACTTAATATAATTTACGGTAATTTGATGTGGGAGTGGGACGAAGATGAGATAAAGTATTCATTATAATTTACCGGTATCGAAGTGGGACAAAGTATTCATTACAAAAAGTACTTGTCAATTTAGAGCATCTCCAAATGTGAGCATGAATTGTATTGTATACCGCAATTAAATAGATGATCTTCTATCCACATGGAAGAAATAGTATTAGTGTTATGTATTTTCATTATAGTGCAATATTAGTATTTGATGTAAAGTTGTTATTTACAACTGTAGGCATTGTGTAATATTAGTATTTGATGTAAAGTTGTTATTTACAACTATAGGCATTGTGTAGCATTACCAAATAGCCCTCTTGTAACCCTAACTATAAATACTCTCTCTCCCTCACTGTACAACTAGTACGAATCCCGTATAAGAGATAGTCATTAATATTTATTAATTAACATTCTCATTAAGTAATTTTTATAAACTAAAAACATGATATATTAATTATTGAAAGTATTATATAAAATTTAAATTGTACAAAATTACATAAAAATGTTTATTTAAAATTAGTACACAACCCGCACGTTGCACATAATTGATAATGACTTGCATTATATTTGTTTCAAAATATGTGTCATTTCAAAAATTTTATTCAGAAATTCGATTTGACTATAACGTGATTCCATATAATAATTATTTTGGTAAAATTTTATCATATATTTAAAAACCTATGTGAATAATAAGTATAAATATAAAATTTATAATGTTTCATTAATTAAAATGAATTTATTTTGTATAAAATATCCAAATCAAAACATTTAAGTAGGTGAGTAAAAACAATCAGTCATAAGATTTTTTATGCCAAAAAAATCGACACCCTTATCATGCTAAAAAAAATGAACAGTGGATTTCACACAAAAAATATTTGAAATGTCATAACAAAAAATGAATTAACCGAGGCCCACTAATTATACAAAAAAAATTGACCAGGGCTTTTTAAAAAAAAAATAAATATTGATATACGCACATTATATCAAAATATTCGTTCATATTATTTTGTCGGAGTAACAGTGGTTTTATTATATTAATTTCATACGAAAAATTGAAACCCATGTCTAAAAATTAATATATTAGCATGCGCATTACAGAAAAAAGTACACCGTATATTGATTAATTTTTCATCAAATTTCCTACCAAAAAACAGTTATCAAATAACCTAAATAAATTTGCTCACTTTATACCATATATTGATTAATTTATTTCCTATATAAACAACCATCAATACCAAAAATAAATTGGTCCACTTTATATATATTAATTAATTCACATGATTTGAGTAATTAAGGTATCTTAAGATATGCTTAATTACTTCTTTAAATAATAAGCCGCAATTTCCAAAAGTGAACATTTGATATATACCATAAATTGTTAAATTAATTTTCCGAAATAGTAAATAGAATTTTTTTGGAGGGAAATAGTTGCTATTTAAAAAATAATCAAATATTTTTATATATATATATATATATAGATAATAAAATCATTAATTTAGGCAATTAAACCATTGTCAATTTAAAGATGAAGATAAAAATATTTCGATACTATGATTTAAACAAAGAGAATGAAAATTTTCAACAATTTATAATAAATGTTTCTGTGTGTAATTATTTGTTAAAACTTTAATTTTTAGTAACAAATGAATTGCAAATCAATACAATTATATTAGTCATTTTTTTATTTTTAATTTAATGAGCCAAAATTTATTTTTATTAAAAAATAAAAACTGGCAATTAATAGAATTCTATTAGCCGATTTAATTTTTCTAAAAGTTTCAGAAAATTTTAAAAAATAAAAACGGGATAGCCGGATTATATTAATTCTATGTGCCAATTAATTAAATTATTAAAGCAGATGTTATGTTAAAAAAAAGAATCAGATATTTTGAAAATAATAAACAGATTAGTGGTTATCAAAGATAACCTTCCCACAATTTACGGACATCATCTTATGTAACCTTCCCACAAATTACGGAATGCATTTAATGCTGAGCGTGTATTTTTATAAATAAAAAAAAAAACTTGCCATTAATGGCAAGTAATTAATGCAGACCGAGTTTGACCACAAATTTGACCTACTATTTTTTAAAAATGTTAATTCTTATTATTATATATATATATATATATAGATTCACTTTTTTCCGCTTTTCTCTTTTCCTCTCCTCTGAATACAAATCGTCGGTTCTTCTTGTTCTTCATTCTTTTCTTCTTCTTTCTGTACAAAGCACAATATATGTTGATATTGTTGATCTGATATGGTATCAGAGCCGTTCGATCCGTCATTTTTCTGCTTCCACACATAGATTTCTCACTATTTTTTTATCGTTTGAATCTCTACCTCCGAGATTTCTTCGATTCTCTTTTTTTTTTAGGGTTTTCATACCCGATCTTCGTTTTTTGCTTGATTTGGGACTAAATCTACTAGATCTACTTGAATTTCGCCTGATTTTGCCTGATTTCATCTGATACTATTTGATCTGACATGGCGGCTGCTCAAAATCCGAACGATGATCCGTCGAGTCCATATTATCTGCACGCGAGTGACAATCCATGAGCGCTCATCGTCACTGAGCTTCTCAACGGCGAGAACTACGTCAGCTGGTCTCGTGCTGTTGTCATGGCTCTCAGCGTGAAAAACAAGGGCAGCTTCATCGACGGTACTCTGTTATCTCCTTCTCCTACTGTAGATTCTCGTCTATATGTCGCTTGGGTGAGGACTAATAACTTGGTTCTGTCTTGGTTAATGAATTCAATTTCTAAATACATCAGGCAGTCACTGTTGTTTTTTAATTCTGCCAAAGATGTATAGATTGAGTTGAAAAATAGATATGCTGTGAGTAGTGGACCACGAGTGTTTCAATTGGAAAAATCTTTAAGTACTATGACTCAGGGTTCATTATCTGTCACTCAGTATTACAATGCTTTTAAAGGTCTATGGGATGAATATGTAACTCTTAGGCCTATTATCAGATGTCACTGTAGTGTTTTTGCCACTTGTACTTGTAATTTTTTTGATCTCATGGTTGAATCTCAGCAAAATGATTGTGTGATGAAGTTTTTGATTGGGCTGAATGATTCATTTACCTCCCTCAGAAGACATTTTCTACTGACTTCCCCATCGCCTTCACTTTCCAAAATATATTCCCTTCTGCTCCAAGAAGAGTCCCAAAGATCACTTCATAATTCCTTTCTTTTTCTTTCTGTACAAAGCACAATATATGTTGATATTGTTGATCTGATAATTAGATGTTCTAACTCATAAAGTCTCCAGTGGTTCACGTATTTTTTTTCTTCTCAGAGCAGTTACTATCTTTTTCTTTAACTAATTTCTTGGTTTAATTAAAAAGAAAATAAATAAGTGAGAGAAAAAAAATGACTCATCATATCTGACAAGATTTCTACATGTAGAAGGAATTCTGCGTTTTATTCTTTCTCTTTCATGCTATGTCATTATGAATAGAGTCCAGACATTCACGGTTGGAGACATTTTTTATTGAACTTCTTCCATATTTCTACAATTAACAATCCATTGGAGATGCTCTTATTCATTACTACAAAATAGTCTGGGGAGTAGAGTATGCAACGTGTATAAATTTGTCTTCGAGGAGCGTTTCACTATCCCTCAGAGCCCTTTCATTAGTAAATCGATTGTCTCGTGCAGTACATAGTTTAGAATTACAAGTAAAGAACTCCTTCATAAGCTTACTACAACTATACTCGATCCTACTAATTACTTCTCTTGCCACAACATGGACTAACAACTATTACAGAAATCCCTCCATAGTACCCAAGAGTACAAAGATCATAATGTCTCAATCTTACATAGATGATGAAACACAAAACTAAAATCTTGAATTCACAAGTTATATAATACAATCAATAAAGCTCACGAAATCTTAGAAAATTGATTATATCAATATGCTTAGGAAAGAACCATAAAACTCAGTTCTTCTCTTTAAATTTCGTGATCTAATATATAGACAAAGACAAATTCTAACTAGTTAGGACACCCTAGGTTGGCATTATCTTCATCATCCTTCATTTAGAGTAAATTTCCTTCAAGTAGAATTCATGTATGTGATTTGGAGAACTTCATAATTCCGTTTCCAAAATCATACAGGAGCACAATTTTCCTAAAATAGCCGATCTTCTAAATCTAAGAGATCTTGCGGTGAATTTTTCCAAATAGTACTTAGATCTTCTCCAAAACGTTCTAAGCGACTGTTGGGAATTTTATCAGATGGAGCAAAGCCATACCTGACTTACTTTAGGAGCCTTTAGTAAATAGTGAACCCCATCAACTAGATTCTTTTATTGAATAATTGTCCTTTTTCCGTGCGGAATGAAAAAATCCTTCATGTATGGATAGTTCATCATTTTATAGTACTTGCCACATATTCTTTGTCGTACAATGTAGAGAAAAGTAATTAGTATATAATCCAACTCATTAATGCAAGCTACATATATGATAAGGAAATATATGTAAGATATATATTATGTAATCTTTCTCCTAAAGGGTTAGGACTCCATAATACATACTATTATAAATATATACTATATATTATTAATAATAAATAATAAGAACTTAATTAATTTGCAAGTAAATAAATAGAAAACTTTCGTTTAATTTGTTTTGTTTGTCTAATGTTTGTCATATTTGTTTCTATTTCTGTTATTGGTTTGCTTGTATTTCCCCCTGTTTTAAGCATTTTCTTAGGAATTTTGGTCTATCTAGTCTTTTGTCGTGTCTTTTATTTTATTTTAGTTTTTCAATGTTTTCTTTTGTTTTTCCTGTTTTTCATGTGTTTTTTGTTATTAGAGGTGTGCAGGCTCGGAAATTTGACCAAATGTTTGGAATTCAACCAGTTCAAGGAGAAGGTGGACGTCCCAATTATACAAGTGCATTTCTCGATTTGGAACCTCGAGAATCTCGTCCAACCCCCTTTAGCCCAAACACGCGGGAACCAACTATTTGCATCGGGTAAAACCCGAGCAACGTACGTTCTGACCCCTCACGCGCGCGATAGCCTGCGCATCCCGTCGACCTCGCGTATACATTTCCACGCTTCGTGTGCACAGCGTGCAACATCTCCACACACGCCTGCACCAACGCACACACCTCACCAGACCTCGTGCCACGACACAACACGACCGTCGTGTGGGTTTCGCGCACGCGACACTCTTCGCAACCCAACAGAAACTCTAGGCGTCCCAAGCCTCGCGTCGTGACAGCGCGAGAGGCTCACAATGCGTCAGGCGTGGCGCAGGCACAATTTTTCTTGGACGTTTTCTTGGTTATTTTTCTATTTGAGGAGAACTCGAGCCTTGGGCTTAAGATCATTCCAGACTTCACATTTTTAAGTTTTTATCTCTTTTTGAAACAATGTAGATCGTGTGTGCTGTTTTAGACACTTTAAGAACCGGATCATTGTATGCTAATCTTAAAAAGTTCTCTTTTTGCATGCATAAAGTTGTTTTTCTTGGATTTTTGTAAGTGGTGATAGAATAAAAATAGAAAAGGATAAGGTCAAGGCTACTTGAACTGGCCAGTTCCTAATAGCATTGTTGAAGTAAGAAGTTTTCATGGTCCTGCTAGCTTCTATAGGAGGTTTATTAAAGATTTTAGTGTCATTGTTACACCATTAAATGAAATTGTGAAAAAGGAAGTCAGTTTTCAATGGAGAGAAAACCAACAACTTGTTGATCTATTAAAAGAAAAATTAACTTTGCACCTATTCTTGCTTTGTCTAACTTTGATAAATCTTTTGAGCTTGAATGTGATGTTTCTTAGTGGGTGTAGGTATTGTTTTGTTGCAGGAAGAAAGACCATTGCATATTTCAGCGAGAAGTTGAAAGAAGCTCAATTGAACTACCCGACATATGATAAGTACTTATATGCATTGGGGCAATGGCCCCGTTTGGTAGATAGCGGATTGAAGGTAAATTAGCGGATTGGACTTAATTGAGAGGTTTGACCCGTCAAATCCGCTATTGAGTCTGTTTGGTAAATAGTTTATTTGATAAGCTTTTTGGGCCCAAAACTCTAATTTAGAAAAAGCTCATTAGAGGAGCTTTTTGGGGATAGAGGATTCACAAAAAAATATTTTACTTGGAACTTTTTAATTTGCATTATTTATTTTAAAATTTATATTGGTTTATGGTGCTAATAAATAATAATATGTCATCCACATGATTAATTTATTTAGAAAAATGTAAAATTCATTAACTTCTTTATCAAGTTTTAGGAAATTTAAGGAAAAAAAATAATATATTTATAAATTACCAACTAAAGAATATTAAATGTTTTAATATATTATTATTAAAAGAATACACCCTAAATAATAAAATATTCTTATTGGTTATTTTGTAATGTCAAACAGCTATAAGCTTTCAGCTATTTACCAAACACTTATTTAAAAAACGCTAATGCAATCCGCTAGTCAAATCAGCTAATATAATCCGCTATCCGCTATCCGCTGATACAATCTGCTATCCGCTATCCGCTATCCGCTGATCGCCAAACAAGGCCAATATGGAAAAGCCAAGGCTGAAATGATCAAGAAGTTGCATGAGAAGGACAAGTTAAACATCGAGAAGCAAATCGAGAAATATGCAAAACAAGCCAATAAAGGGAGAAAGAATGTTAGTTTTGAACCCGGAGATTGGGTTTACATTTGAGAAAATATAGATTCCCAGCAAAGCGCAAGTCAGAGTTGCTAGCAAAGGGAGATGGTCCACTTCAAGTGATTGCAAAGATCGACGAAAATGCCTACTAACTCTATCTTCCACGGGAGTACAATGTGAGCGCTTAATTTAATGTTTCTGATCTATCTTCGTTTAACTTTGTTTCAGATTCAAGGTTAAATCCTTTTGAAGAAAAAGGGAATGATGGGGACCATTCGAAGCTTTCGTTCAAAGTAAGGTAGATCCAATGAAAATAAATGGGGGTCCGATCACGTGGGCGAGGGCTAAGCAACTATAGGAAGTCTTGAGTGTTCTTACTGCTGAATTTCAAAAGTAGACGGACCATATCCCGATTGAAGGCCAAGTGATGAATATTCTTCAAGTAGATGGACCAAATTTTGATGAAAATAAATCCATTCTATAATTAACATATTTTCTAATTTGCATCATAAGACTTTATAGTTTATTACTATGCAATGGAAATATATTTTACCATAATTTTATTATGGAAAGAAATCAAAATACCAAAAAAAAAAATAATAAAAAAATTTAATCATGGTTGATAATAATATACAAATAAACCACATGTTGAAATTCTTAAAAAAAAAGAGTTAATATATNCAGTAGATAAAATAAGGTAATAGTAGAATGCACAAAGTAGGTAAATGAGAAAACAGAACATCAAACAGAAGATAAAATAAGGTAACAGTAGAATGCAGAAACATGAAATAATAATAACCTTCTTATTAAACAAACATGGCCACAAACATTGAAATGCAGAAAGTAGCACCTTATGTTCTCCAAAGGAGATAAATGAGAAAACAGAAGATAAAACCAAAGCACAACTGGAAATTAGGTAATGTAGAATACCATTGAATCTTATTAAGCATTCTCTAATTTGTGATTATTCATTCTTGTGTGCACTATTTAATCCATTCAAATTCATTATCTACATTGCTCTTGCTGTACAAAAACATCCCAAAACAGAATCTAGTTGTATCTTAAGTACAAACAAAAAGTTTCAAGATTTAAGACAATCCATGACATGACTTTTCTCAAATTTTTATCTCTATTTAACAGTTGTCTGTGGCCACTTTCAAGACAATTCACTGTCATTTTGAACTGTTTTGTCGACTGGGTTCTGCTCGGCCCACACAACTGCATCCATATATCCAAGCTCAAAAAGCTTATCGAGAATATCATCCGATGCAGGCTCGAGTGCCCAATTGAAAAGCTGGAAATAAGATGATGGGAAAGAAGGTCAAAATATGTTTCTAACAACATACAAATCAATCTATTTAAGACTGCAATATTACCTCCCGAGGACTAGCCCTGTTATCCGGGTTGCAATCAGGGCTAATCCCTATCCCTTGTATTCCCAAACGGCTTGCAGGGAAAGCACAGACACGTACCTGCAAGATAGAAAGATTGTTGTTCGCATTTCATGTTTCCTTTAAGCGAATAAAACTGAAACTTATGACAAAAATTAAGCCCGAGGTTTAGATTAATCACCCAAGAAAAAAAAAAAGAGGGGAAAACAAAAAACCACCTACACAAATTTTCTCGAGGGGGCTATTTATTTCTTGAGATAAATACAAATCTCCAAGAGGTGTTTGTATAGGGTTATGGTAATTTCAGGTGATAATTGAGGTTCTTTTAATTTTCTAAAAATTAGGCTAATAACAACGTTCTCATTTTTATTGTACTTAACCCAAATTTCTTTCTGGAAGCATACCGTTCGAGCAGCAGAAGTTGGCGGCATGAACAAAGTCAAACCTCCATCTATGCATAACCGATTCCGAAACATTGTTGCTGGCCTTGGAGCAAGATATCTAGATTAAATCAACAATCAGTACCTTTGATTATTTTCTCCTAGTTACAATTGGTGGAATATGTCATAATGGGAGCATTTGTTACACTGGAATAAAAGAAGACGTGATCACTGCATTGATCAAATCTTCTTTAGAGTCAAATTTATCAACAAGTAAACCCCTCGGCCTCCATAAGATCTGGGTTACTGCAACTGTCATGAAAAGTTAAAAACCCTAAAATGCTATTAGTAATCAGTAGGAACATAATGGGTATAGAGATAATTATAAAACACTTTTTCTTCTTGATTTTTCATCTTTTTAAATATTCAGCCTACAACGCATAAGGAAATAAATATAAGGAATACTATTCAAATCTGTTACAATTTGAAAATTCACCAATTTATAGGAATATAAATGGATTTTTTTTTTTTTTTTCTCTCGAAAACCAACTGCTTCAAATTAACAATCAAAACAGCCTACAAATGCTGTTTAGCAATGAATGGTGCCAGTGGAAAATAAAAACCAAACTCACCACGAACTCTTCCGTTGGACCTCATATGAGCATCATCGGGTAAAAACTGCTCCAGAATATCTCGAAGCACAGCCTATTGCAGAAGAAAACACTCGGTTTTTAGCCTTTAGTCTGTGCAACAATGACACTAGAATTTACTAAAACTTATGTGGTAAGACTAAATATGGACTTCAAGTAAGAGCAAAACAAAACAAAATCTGGCCTGCTAACTTACTAAATTCTTCTGCTTACCCACAAGTTAAAGGAAAGGGAACTCAAAACATGCTAGTTCAACAACCCATGAACTTTAACCAAATTTCATCCCGTAATCCTGTCCTAAATCCTACATGTTTTGCTATCACATGCCATAGTTACGGTTTATACTCAAGTCCTTTCAATTATTTAGTAGGGTTCATTTTTATCTTTGGTTAACACCAGTAGTCGATGTAACAACAATACCCCAAGGCGAAATGCAGTCCCACGAAGCCTACAATCTTCAGCCAATATCTTGGTAGCTTTAAGTGCATCGTCCATGCTAGCCCCAGATGCAATCACTGCACACACAATAGCACCAGCAGACGAACCAGCCAGTGGTGTTGTCTCCTGCTACAAAGGGAGAAACAAATAATAAATATAAAGTAGCTAAGTTGTTATGGAAGATATATTAAACTAAAGAATGTACCAAATTTCTCCAAATACACACTTTATACTGCTGAAAATAGAAAAAGAAGCGAGCGTTTGATGCTTGCTGGAGTAAACCTGCTAAAAGATGACTTCGAGTTTTATTTTCTCAACTAAGTCAATATGTGAGATATCAAGATACTCCAGCCTTGTTTATCATAACATTTAGTTTCAATCCTATCTGTTCAGCTCATTCTCTGTTTTCTCAACTAAAAAAATTAACCATTTAATGAGCAAAGGAGAAACATCAGGTGCAGTTATCCAAAAGGAGAACATGAAAAATTTCGTATCGAGAAACATCAGGTGCAGTTATCCAAAAGGAGAACATGAAAAATTTCGTATCGAGCATTAACAGCGCAAGTAAAGAAGACAACCGCCCAGCAATCAACCTATCAAAATGTGAGTAAGTTACAAACAGTGTGTTTGACTCAAAATTAGAGAGAGGGAAGAACTTGATTTCTTCTTCCATTGTTAAAGATGTGAACTTCAATGTCACGAGTAGCACGCTCAATATCTCTCAGACAAATATCATAGCAGTGTCAAAGCACAAAGTAACTTTCCCACCACATTAATTCAATGTAAAATCATCACCAGAATGAAATGAAAACTAATGAACAGATTACCTTGATATAACCCTTCTCAATGAGAAACTGAGCTACACCAAGATGGTAGGGAAACAGAAGCCCGGCGGCTGAAAAACTAAAACCGGGGCTAGTAACCTCCTTGCGCCGCCGCTCGGCCTCCACATCCTCCACCATTTGCTCCCACACCACGTCCGGCTGGACCGGGTCCTCTACCACGGCGCCGATTCTCTCCTTCCTCCGGCGCCGCCACCACCACTCCATCTGCCTCTCCTCGTCCGCGAACATCTCCACCGCCGGCACTTCGCAGTCCTCTATTCCATCGACGATTGACCCACTCTTCTTCAAAATCCGCGACGCGATTCCGAGGAAGAGCTCGCCGGTGGCCGCGGCCAACGACTTCTTCTCCGACGGCGGCGGCGGTGGTGGTGAGGCGCTGTAGTTTTGGGGCGACGTGGCTTTGATGGAGAAGCTGACCCTGCGGGCTGGAACTGTAATTGCGGCGGTGGCGGGGAACGGGAAGATGGAGGAGGCGGCGACGGCCATGGCTGGTTTGGGGGAGAAAACTTAAATGGTGGCCCGATCTGTTGCAGGGTCCTCAAAAGCATCGAAATTAAATTATTTTTTGCTTCATTTAATTAGTTTTGTTGGCAGAATTTGGAATTTGTTGGATCATTTCTCCCCTTCATGTTTCTGGTTGCTTTCTTTCCCTTCACGTGTGTTCAATTGGTGCTTGTGAGAGAAAATGACCTAGCTACCCATTACTAAATATCTTTTTTATTACATAATTACTCCTCATATATTTTACCATATAATAAATTTAAATTTTGCAAACATTTGATTTAATTAAAAAATAAATAAATTGCTACCGCCATTGGCAAGTGAACGCGCTTGAGAAACGCGTGGCATGTACATCGTCCTTACTGATTTTGCCATTTTGCTGCTGCCTCAGTTTCAGTTGCTGCGTAGTCACTCCAAATCGATTGCCCCCACCAAACTCTCTCTCTCTCTCTCTCTCTCTCTCTCTCTCTCTCTCTCCAGTCTCGGAGGGGAAATTATCCCTTCCCAGCCTCGCGCATCAATGGGCTTCTCCAGCAGCTCTGTAGATCAATGCGGCGCTGCCGCCATCCTCAAATCCATCATTTTCTGGATGCTAATCTCAGCCGTCGGGCTAGCCGAGGCCTCAATTCACATCTACGACCGAGTTCCGTTTCGAGAAGTAGGCAATGCTTTTCTCGTCTCCGGTGGAAGTGAAGGCATCGCCGGCGCTGACAGCGGCAGTCGCTCATATATTCGGTACTTTTTAGCTTTGCTGTGTGTTTTCTCGTGTGTCAAACTAGAATTACTGATATTCATTCAGATCTACTGTTACATTTTCTTGCATTGAGTTTCTGGGGTTTGATCGTGTGTGGTTAAAGAAAGAAAAACTCGCTGGATATTTTGTTTCAGTTTTATTTTTAGGGACTTGATCTGCTCATATACTGTTTGTAAGATGTGGAGTTCTGAAAGTTGAGCTAGAATCAGTTTCCGTTGTCTTTAATTAGCTAATCATCGGGGTGCTTCTGTGGGCACTGTAATTTTTGAATCTAGAAGTTTTTTTTTTTTGGGTCGCAATTGAAGTAGGTAAATCGTCTCCTGATTATGTCTATCTGAAGCTTTGTTATATAGAGTCATTTTTTCATTTTATCTCACACAAATAAAGATTTGGAAATTGACTTGTTGAGCTTTATGAGATCCAGTGACTGTTTTTCAATTTTGTACCAAATGTCTCAAAACAGTCTTCATAGGCATATATAGTTCCTGTTTGTGTAATGGTTCATATGAATATATGTAATTGCCGATATCCATTTGTTTATGCATATTGCACCCTGCATAAAGCCAATAAAATGCTTATGGTACAAACACGCCTCACCAATTCTAACGAACCCTTTTATTTCAACATGAATGCCACACTACTCATACTGTTTCATCGAAAATTAACTTAGATTCGAGAACGTGACTTTCTGGAGGAGTAAAGAAGACGCCAACCGTCACCCCTCTCTTGCATACAATGGTGGGCTTGTTCAAGTTATTATTTTTGAGGCGTCTGATCGTGACAATATCGGTGGATCGGCTTATGGTGGGCAGAGATCAATATGTTGCACACCCGATCTTGCCAAGTTGGAAGGTTGCAAACAAGGAGAAGTAATAAGAACACCATCGGCAAGCGATAAAAACTGGCCGGTTGTCATAAATGTTTATTTCAGAGGAAACATGCTATCGACCCATATGAAAAAGAGTAAAGAAGTCAACATCAAGAGGACAGGGATGTACAATTTATTCTTCATAACATGCGATCCAAAACTCAAGGACATGAGGGTGACTGGCAAGACCATGTGGAAAAACCCTAGTGGCTATTTGCCCGGTCGAATGTCTCCCCTCATGAAGTTTTATGTATTTATGTCAATTTCTTATGCGATTCTTTGTGGTGTATGGGTTTTCCAATACGTTAGGTATTGGGACGACGTTTTGCTGCTACAACACTGCATAACTTCTGTTATTGCCCTTGGATTATTGGAGATGACTTTTTGGTACTTTGACTTTGCGTATTTTAATAGCATGGGGGTGAGGCCCATTGGAATCACGACATGGGTTGTGACGATTGGTTCTGTGCGAAAAACTATTTCTCGAATCCTTATTCTTTCTGTTGCAATGGGCTATGGAGTTGTTCGACCGACTCTCGGTGGCTTGACCGTAAAAGTGCTTCTCGTTGGAATCACTTATTTCCTGGCGACCGAAATGCTTAATATTGCAGAAAATGTGGGGAGCATAAATGACATTGCAGGACGGGCAAGGGTTTTTTTTGTTGTCCCGGTTGCATTTTTGGATGCCTTTTTAATTCTGTGGATTTTCACTTCTCTTTCAAAAACACTAGAACAACTTCAGGTAATGCATATACCAGTTATAGTTATAGTTTTGATTACTTAGAGTTGTCCACCTGCTGATACTGATTATGTTTTGTTTCCTTTTCAGGCTAAACGGAGTTCTATCAAATTGGATATATACAGAAAATTCTCGAATGCACTGGCACTTACTGTTGTTGCCTCAGTTGTATGGATAGGATATGAGGTGTGTGCTCGTTTCAGGTGTTTTTATGCCTTGGGCCTTACCTTCTTGTTGGTTTTAATTTCAGAAGAAATAGTTTGGTTTCAACTTTCATAACATACTTTTACCACCTTAGAGAAATCATGAATATATGAGAGAAATTTTCTTTCTTTTTTATTTTTCCTTAAAACAAGCGGTATCATGTGTAAAAAGAGAAAATGAAGTCTCAAACGTTTTTACTTAAAGCAAGCGGTGATATCATTGTTATTCAAAAGCAATTGGCAATGAGGTTTGCTTATGCCTTTATAAACCTGAAAAAGGAAAAATATGCATTTGTTGAATGTTTGTGCTCTTCTCCTATCTAGCATTCATGATTTTTTACCTCATCATATGGCATAAGAGCCCTTCATCATGCGTTTACGAATTTGTTACCTGCAGCTTTATTTCAAAGCAACAGATCCCTTCAATGAAAGGTGGCAGAATGCTTGGATTATCACAGCCTTTTGGGATGTTCTAGCATTTGCTTTGCTCTGTGTTATCTGCTACCTCTGGGCCCCGTCCCAAAGCTCCCAACGGTATGTGATAGCACCATTTTGTTATATGAGTTACGTATTCCAATCAAGAAAGGTTGCTTCAGAAATAGGGTATGTGGTCCACCTTTAATATGTATAAAAAAAATATTTATGGATATGTTAGTTAGAAAATCTACACTGACGTTCTAGCCTAATTCCGAGAGAGAGAGAGAGAGAGAGAGAGCGCAATATCAAATATTTGTGACATTTGATGAAGTACCTTTGAAAGATAACTGGAGCAGAAGTTAAGGATATTGAGAACCTCTTCTAGGAACTCATCAGCTTTTGACCTTATGCAATCATTGACCAGAGCTAGAAGTCTGTAACTCTGTATATGCTTAGTTCTATTGAGAAATTTGGTTTATAGTATTATAAATCCTGCCAGGTATGCGTACATGGACAATAAGGGAGATGAGACAGATGATGAAGAAACTGAATCGTTGTGCAGAGAAACTTCCAAAGGTAGTATTAGTTTAGTCAAGCAAGGCCAAGATGATAGAAACAATGGCAACACATCTGATTCAGAAGAATCAGAGGAAGGCAAGAGAGAGTGATGGCAACATTGATGGTATAATATCNGTTTCATTGATGCATTACCTAAGGAGGGAAAGGAAAAAGAGTTCATTGATGGTTAATGGGGATTTACTTCTGATGCACAGTAGACAGATTCATTTTTTTCTTTTCTTTTTCTGGTGGGTTATCTGGAAATTTCTATTTTATTCCCGTGAGATGGCTTCTCGCGAGATGTTGGCATGTTGTATCAGTGTGTGTGTATAAGTAATGTATCATATTACTGTTCATAACTTCGAAGTGCTGCTCGGAGAATTTTGCTGGTTAAATTGGATTTATTTGTTGCTAATTGTCTTCCTTGTTATTGTGTTTTATAGTCAAATGTTATAATTTTTAATCAGTAAAATAAAATTATGATATTTCAGTCTTATGTATTTTGTTTTTGTTTAAAGTGAAGGATTGACTTGTTTCACCGTTATCCTATTCTATGGTTGAATTACAACCGATTTTTTTATGGAGTCATCCGATTGTTTTTCTTATGGAGCCACTGATTATGTGGCTCTATATTTTGGAGCCATCCGTAGTACACATATATATATTGCACCAATTCATATATATTTTGGAATTGAAAGTTTTTAGGAATTTAGGGTTACTCACAACAATTTATCGAATAGTATTGTGTACATATTGTTATTTCTCAAACATCATACATAAAAATAATTGATAAATGGATCTATGAATACAAAAATATTCTTATACAAGTTCAAAATACTTTGAGGTTAAATGTTAGCTTAATGCCGTCACATTCTTAATAATATTATATTTTAAAATAAATAAATAAATAAAATATAATATTTCATAACATAAATATCAAATTTTGTTCAAAAATATAACGAGTCTGACTACATAACTAAACTCGACCAACTTAAATTTAGGTTGGATAATAACTATGTGGAAGCCTTAGTTAATCAAAAAACATTACTGAAAATCTATACTCCGCTGAAATTGATTTATTTACGAACAGCATTGTTCCAGTGAGCTTTCACTTCCGGTGACCAAATGCTATAATTTTGACTCATCTTCCAGACCTAACTATTAGCAGACATTCTCAAAATGGGATTCAAATGGTAAATTAGAAACTTAAAAGACTTCATAATAATAATAATAATACATTCACNCAAAAAAGAACACTAGTTTTCAAGAGCAAAATCAACCTAAATCCTTGATCATCTACCTTAAAAAACTCTTTTGGCTCATATGAGAACCCGAAATCTAAGAACCTTTGTTTGTTATATCTTTTCCAGGTAGATCATCCTCATCATGGTAGATATTCTCAGCCATCTGCCATATTTGGAGTATATTATCCTCGGCCACGCTGGCAATAACCCAATCTTCACAAGGATTCCATGAAAAATCCGAAACTTTGCTTGTATGACCACCGTGAATAAATAACAACTCGGGTGGTCCATCCTCAGCATCCTCTTGTGTTTGTTCTTCATCAATCCTATGAAGTAAAATTTGACAAAATGAAAACTGCGGTGAAAAGAAGAAGGCATTTCTTTTCATGTCGACAAAAGAACCATTGAGAATAAAAGGAGCAGTTATAAATAAGAGAGCACAGAATTTGGATGCCCGTGCAATATAACAAGGCGACTTAATTCTAGCAGACAAAACGCTTGAAACATTTAAAACTGCTTGGTAAATTTTCTTTTTAAGAAATAATATACTACAAGTTAACAATTAGATGCCAAAAGCTTATAACTTTCTTTCTAGGACTTTTCTTTTATTTATCTTCACAATAATATCTCATTTAATAATTTTACGGTTAATTACATATACCCTTGAGGTTCGATCTATACCAACAAACTCCAGCCAACTTTCAAAATTTCAAGTAATACCCTGCATATTTTTATAAAGAGTAAAAGAATAAAAATACCTTCACATTTCGAAAAATATTATAGTTAGTCACTTAATTTTAAGACCTTGGCAGCTCATGTGACTTTGAAGGTTAGCTTGGTTCCTAGTAATTAGGTCAAACCTCGAGGGTACCTTTTGTATGTACCTCGCATAATTATCGAAAAGAAAATTATCCTCCTCCCACATTTACCTCGAGGGTACCTTTGAAAGCCTCATGATCTTATTTTATTTACAGGATGACCACATTTACCTGCTAAGGTCCCAAATCATGAGCCTACGACCAAGACAACACGAAGCTAAGATGGTCTCGTTCTTTGGACTCCAACCGACCTGGAAAACCTCCTCCCTATTTAAAAATTAAAATTAAAAGCAGGTACAAATTAGTAAAAGAGTGGCTGAACACTTTTCTGAAATAATATTCTGCATGCTGAATCAGAAAAAGCAGTAGCATTATGTTATAAACTCATAGAACTGAAAAGGCAAGAAAAATTGCTCACTTGTGACACTCAAAGGTGTGAAGAGCAGTAGAAATCTTCCGCATGTCAAATAATTTTACGGTCTTGTCAGTAGATCCTGTTGCTATCACCCACTCGTTGAATGGATTGAAGGCCAAACAGTTCACCTACACAAAACACAGATAGAAAAAAAGTGGTGAAAGCATCAAAATGAAAGATAACCTCAGGAAGAAAAGACAATTATGTTATATACGTGTATTAATTGTCTATCCCTAAAAGCATTGTTATATGCAAACAACTGTATAGACTTCAGAAAGCAGAGGTATTCATCAGCTTAACATCAATTGCTATAACATATAAATCACATAGTACACTCAAATTTCTCCAGTTACAGGATCCGTGGGGAAAAAAGGCGGAAAGAATGAAAGGAAGGAAGAAAGAAAGAATGATGAAAGCTTCTATTTGTATTTACATTACCACTGCACAGCCAACCTCGACCAAAAGAAGTATTCTCCTTCTAATTATATGAAAAAAGAAAGAAAGAAAGAAAGAAAGAAAAAAGGAAAGTATTTCAAAATATCTCCATACGCAGGCAATATTTTTATTAGCTTCTGGACTTGTAAGAGTGAACATTCATCAAGAAAAATCTTGACCATCTGACATTGAATAAATACCACCAAACAGTAGCAGCAATAGCTAGGTCTACTATATATTCTTTATTCTATGGGGGTCAATAATAATAAGATATTTAGTTAAAAGATTTTGAACCATAATTAAGTAACTGACCTCACTTTGATGGGCAACCACAGATTGCATTGGCTTGCTGACTGATGGAGTTCGAAGGTCCCACACATGCAGATACTGATCATCTCCAACAGAACCAAACAAGTACTCATGCCTTAGATGCCATGCTACATCCTCAACAACACCTTCATGAATCTGTTCACAATCACCACAATAACGTCAAGATTTTTACTGTTTAAAAATAAAATATAAAAGAATTCTGGAGAAAACACCAATTTTTCAAAGAAAATTTTCCTAATGGAGCTAATTGCAGTGTTGCGTGTGTGTGTGTGTGTGTGCTGTGTGTAAAGCTAACAAGCTTGATTTTCGTATAACGGACCTTAAATATGTGCATGGCATCTAGAGACTTATTTTTTGGAGTTGCATTTACGTCCCACAAGCATATTTGGGCATCATCAGAGCCACTCAACAAATGACCCTGCTTGAAGTGACTCCAAGACAAACCATACCCTTCAGAATTGTGACCCCTTAGTCTCAGATCAGGATTACATGCACCGTCCAGAGGAGGCTTAGACGGGTGTTTGCTGTAATCGAAAACGTAAACTTCAGAACTGACTGTCTTTGTGGCGATTATGAACTGGTTTTGAGGCATGTAACGNAAACCTCTTACACAACTGCGAAAGGAAAAAACTTATGTCCAAAAGTGGAACCTGGAAAGCGATCAAGATAATAAGAAAATACACTTACAGTCAGGCAAATGAAATATAGGATCTAAAAGGGAAAACAAGAGGCAGATTTATAAGTCCTGCTCCATAATTCAATTACCACAAGGGAACAAGTTCCCAGTTTTTACTTGCAAGCAAGCAACTATGTACGGACGATCTCATTTTTGGATTCTATAAGTCCACGTTGAGACGGTCTCAAATACATTTTTGGGGGCAATGATCAAACTTTTTCAAACACAAGCTCATACTTTTATGGTGAAAAATTAGACATTTCAAAACAATAATTCACATAGTTTAAATTGATTTGACAAGTATGGGTTTTCACATCAAATGTATGTAATGTCACTAAAAAAATGACTGCCCCAGGTAAGGAGGATTACAAAAGCCATCCCACGACAACTTTTGAGTTTCAAACTGGGGGTTTATGTAATTATGTCAGACTTTTCTAGTCAAAAACCCACCTTCTATTGAAATTGAAACAGGGCAATCTTTTATCTCATTTCATTACAGAACTCCAAGTCCCCATGCAATCCCAATTTCCCTAGCCCACAATGTTTTCTCTAAATAAACAGATATAAACATCAGTTTGAAAACCGAAAGTAAATGCCAACAACATCAATTCCAAAAAATGTAACAGAAAAAGAGAGAGAGAGAGAGAGAGAAAAAAAAAAATGCTACCTTTCCACTCGCGGAACCAAATCCACCGTACTGAGAGCGGTTGTCATCGTACTGGCGCGCATCACTCTCGGCGTCCACGAGGGGCAACTGAACCTGCGCGAGCATCAGGTAATTGGGCTCGTTCTCCGACGTGTGGGTCCCGAGAATCATCTTCTGGACCGAGCATTCCTTGCCTGGCGGCTCCTCACGGTCGGGCAGCCACTCGACGGTAAGCGACGGCCACTCGAGCGCGTGGGTGACAACCAGATCGTACAGAAAAGGGGTGTTCTTCTTCCAAATCTTGTACTCCTCGTTCACCAGTCGCTCCTCTATTTCGCCCCTCATCTCATCATCGTCTTTTTCCATTGTTTGATTTTTCTTCTTTATTCGAGTTTCAGATTCTGTTCACCTCGCTCTGCGGAGAGAGATAGATATTCCAATCGGCGTTTTCTGGCTTGGAGAAAGTGTGCGCGACTGCGAGGGATTTGGGGGAGGGTTGGGACAAAAATTGGAGGGAATGAGATTTAACTACAGTAAATTTGCCGGTTTTACAGTGATGATTTCATTTCTCTTCCTTTTTTTTTCATTTTTTTCTTTTCTCTCACTATTTTAATTTATATATTATTACTATTAGTACAATACTCGTGTAATACACGAGTGCTTGTTAAGAAATTTATATATAATTTTATAAGGTAATTAAAAATATTATTTCAAAATTTAAAAACTTTCTTAAAAATATGATAATTTTTATTTAAAATGATACCCGTCGCATATACGACTTACTCATCTTATATTATAATATTTTTTTGATTTATATTATATAACTATTTTGTAGTTTAATTTATTTAATTGAAAATTGTTTCCAATTATAATTAGTAGATAAATTATTTTTATTTTTAAATGTAAATATAATTATTTATTTATTTGATATATTGGATGCCAAATCGAAGCTAATCAAGAGATGATTAATTTGATATATTATATATTAAAAATTAATAAAAAAAAATACAAAAGTTATCCTTTAATATATATTTACAATTTAACTTAGTAAAAAATCATGGCTTATAAATTACGTCCAGAAAAGAAACAATATTAAAGCACAATTAATTTGTATAAAAAATGTCATATATATTACGTATATTTATGGACAATTTCAAGCCTAATTATTTTTGGATTGAAATTAAATTAAAATCTATCTAAGTCAAATGATGAAGAATAAAATTTCTCCACATAGGATCACGAAACGTGCTAACCTGGCACTTAACTTCAGCACATTTGGAATTATATATATAAGGAAAATTACTCGGATAAATTTAAATAAATCACGACGGTGGGCCTCTCTGGGAGCCCAATATATGAAATCGTAATTGGGCTATAGATCCATGCCACCTGAAAATATAACCTTCCATAAAAGTTATCTATTACCATGAATTTCATAAATGTTATATTTTATCAATATTTAAAAACCAAATAATGAAAACATTCTTATCTTTTTTTTTTTTTCTATCTCTTCCTCCTTTTTCTCTCTTATCTATTTAGCTTGGTTGATTGTAGAATGTTTAGTGGCATTATTTTTTTCCTTTTCTTCTTTTCGAGGAAATTAACTTGTTATCGAAATAATTTGAAGTAGTGAAGTTAACTATTGTTCTGTATCTTGAGTGTTGTATCTATTTAGCTTAGTTGACTGTAGCTTTCTGCCGGCATTGTATTTCTCAGGTTGTAGAAAGGAGTATGAGCATCAAACATTATTTTTTTAGTTTTTCCTGCACTCAAAAAGATCAGAGCAGAGGAGTGATAAGGTACGAAAAAAGACATGATACTGATGTGTTCGTATTACATGATAAATAAGAAACTTGAAGAGGTTTTGGCTAGGACACGAAATGCCACGAAAAAAGACATGATTGCTTTGTTAGACATATGTGTTGCTATTACATTATAAATCATAAACTTGAGAAAAGTCAATATCGAAGCTTCGCAGTTTTTCAGTCTTTGGTTGTACTATTCAGCCTTTGGCTGCTTTCTTTTCGAACTTTCTGCGGTTTTCTTAATATAGTACCTCTATCGTTTTGGAAAAAAAAAGCTTCGCAGTTTGATGTTAGCCTTATGCAGTTCATCACATTGTTCTGGTAATAGTCTTTCTTGAGGTCAATTTGACGATTTGAATCATGATGTTCAAGTCTCTTAAATTTTACTCTATTTCTTTTGAGTCTCTTTAAATTATTCTTGAATTGTAATTTTTCTTATATATGCGATAATATTGTGCAACATTGTAGCTACTAACTCCTTTAGACCCATCATTATACATTGGTCAAGCTTTATTCTTGAATTGTAATTTTTCTTATATACGCAATAATATTGTGCAACATTATAGATCCTTTAGACCCATCCGTATCCATTGGTCAAGCTTAAAAGTAATAGACCCATGTATACATTGGTCAAGCTTCAAGTTATAAGATATATAAGTGAAATTTTATCAGGTTAATATAAATGGTTTAAAAGTACGTTTTATGAAGGCTGAATTTATTCTCCAATTATTTACCTCACAGGTTTGATTTGTTCTCCAATTATCAATACATAATTGCACTGCATGGGTAGTCAGGATCAAAATGGAATAAGTGATCTGACAAGTGGATGAAGAAGAAATCCCTACACGAATAGCCTATAGTANTCAAAAAAAAAAAAAAGGAAAAGAAAGTGCACCAAGTATATAAGTCCAAATCCATTTAAAAGACAAACCAGAATAAATTTAGCTGTTACAAAAACAGAACAGAAACTTAAAAGTCTTGAATCACTCTGCAAAAATGTCGAAATCAAATAACCATAGAAACTACAAAATATCCCAAGTTTATCTGTAAGATAACACTTAAGCCTTGACCCGACCATAAAACTTCTGCTTCTCCTCAGTTGTCTGGAAACGACCATGTCCAAACTTGGATGAGGTGTCGATGAACTTGAGCTTAATCTCCTCAAGGGCAACACGTGAAGTCTGGTTCAGGAGAGTTTGCCTAAGGGTCACCACCCTTTTCTTAGGTCCCACACAGCAGCCCTTTATCATAATGTAATCATCCTTCACAACACCATAGTGAGGAAATCCACCCATAGGAGTAATATCTTTCTCGGTCCTGAATAAGTTCAGTATCAGTATAGGATTAGTTATCGAGAATTCAGAAAAATCATATTCAGCATTCAATAGTTTAGTTGTAAAGAATTCAGAAAAATCTTATATGAAGTAATATTATTTTGAAGGCACAGCAAGCCAAACAGGATAATTACACAGATTGTAGAGTATGTTTTTTCATTTCGAAGAAAATAAAATATTTAAAATTCACAGAGACACTACTCAGTAACTCAGGTGGACACTTTAATTTTGTATTACAACAAAGAGATATCTTTGGGATCCCAAAAAAGATAATTTGCCTTTTGTTCTTAAGCTTAACCCATCCCAGAAAAAAATAATTTCTAAAATGTCTCTGGGCCCGCCACTAATTAATCCACAACAGGAGATTACTCCAGTGAAAAGTTCTCAAGCTTAAACTTAAACTTAAAGCTTGCAACACATAAAACTTATATATAAGAGAGAACCTTCACATTACATAACCATATAGTGCAGGATTTGTAGAGAAATAGCATATTGACCAAAACAAAAGTTACCACTGACTCGATGCTTAATTCGTACACTTGATCTGAAAACATTTCTCCAAGAACTTGGGAAAAAAAAATATTACCTCTTTTTTTTTTAAATGTCATTTTGGCTTTATCAACAATTAACCAAATAAATGACGTTTTGCATCTTTTGTATATATTTTTCCATTATTACCCTCATCTAGCTAATAAATACACTACATCTTTTCATATTCACTCTTCATCTTTTCTCAAAACATCCATCTCTATCCTCATTAATGAGGGTTATTATTTGCAAAAAAAAATTCTTAATTACTGTTCAACTTCTCAAAGAGACACTTGTTAAAAAAGGAGGGAGTAGAAAACTTTGGGTAGAGAATATAGGCGATCTAAAATAAAAAAAACTTGAAATAAGGTGTGCCGAAATATTACCTATCAAACTCGGTACTGGCAGTGTGTTCCTCTTTTCCAACCTTGCCAAGTCTGTAGATCTTCTTGTTCATTTCGGTTCTGTGATGGTACCCATTCTGACCAGCCCTAGCAACTGTGAAGGAAACTCTGGCCGGATGCCAAGCACCAATACAAGCCACCTTACGAAGACCTCTGTGGGTTTTGCGAGGAAGGCGAGTCACACCCCAACGAGTAACAACACCCTCATAACCCTTACCCTTTGTGACACCAATGATATCAATCATCTCATCTTTCTGGAATACAGCATCAATAGGTACCTGCTTCTCAAAGAACCCATAGGCAAAGTCGACCTTCTGAGCAATAGTCCCGCCATTCACTTGGATCTCCATCAGGTGAGCCTTCTTCTGCTTCAGCCCCTTCATCTTCCTTATCTGCATGAACAAAGCGCTATCAGGCTTAATTAATAATATCAACTACAAGTTAAATTACAAATAATAACCCCGTTATCATCTTGATTGATAAAAAAGGCTCCATCTTCTGAAATAACGATTGCATATGCATCCTTACAGTATCACAAATATTCTTTTGATACATAATACTTGCTTTACAATCACCCTTCTATTTGAGTATGAAGATTTGTCAAATAAATTAGGAAACATAACTAGTTCTTTCAAAATTAGAAGAAACCTCAAAGGTGCACTAGTGAATAACTTAAGGAAGAAAAAGAACATTCTTGCTTCCAGACACTCTTGAGAAGGGAAAATACATGTCAGACCATAAACATCAATAAACAGAACACAAAAAAAGAAAAGTCAAGAGAATGGATTTACTGCTAGATACAAACCTGAGTGTGAGCCAATACACGAACAACAGATGCATATTTCTTCAATTTCTCCAGCTGTGCCTGGATATCCTTCTTCCCTTCATCAGTCTCCAGTCTCTTTGAGTATTTGGTGAAGGCCTTCTTCTTGGACTTGCACCAGTTCTTGTAGAACCTCCTCTTCACCTCCTCACTCAGATGTTGAGCCCACACGGTGTTAAGGCAGCGAAGGCCACGAGGGGTCTTCACATACCCAACCACACCAACAATAACCATCGGTGGAGTTTCAATAAGAGTAACAGCTTCACATGTTTCCTTCTTGTGAAGCTCTGAAATCATTAGTTTCAAATTGTTTATTCAATCAACCACAAGTGAAAAAATTGGTAACAATAACACAAACAATACAAGCTGATAGCCTGGTGAGTGTATTTGAGATGATAAATGTACGAACAGCCAACAGCAATTGCCAAGCAAATTCACAGTTTGGATACTTAAAGACATCTTAAACTTATTATATAACAGACTTTTAGTGAATCCTCATTCATTACAAGTATCACTAGATTATTCTTACTCAATGTAAACATAGAACAAATTGTATTAGGAAGTGGCTGTAGGCAGAGTTTTCGGGAAAGGGTCAATTTTCCTAAAAGGAAAGAAGCAAATGGCTAAGGATAATGACACAGCCAGATCAACAGAGTGAAATCGTACCATGACAGCTGAATGAACAAATTTACAATGTTTGTTCCGGTAAACCATTGCTAATTATAGAGCGCATAGGCAGGCAACAAAACTGTCAGAATATTTTTGGGACATAACTTACTTGATCCAGGTTTTTCAACTTCTCTGACAATGTGAGTCATGCCAGCCTTGTAACCCAAGAAAGCTGTCAGCTTGCAGGGCTTGGTGGGATCATCCTTTGGGAAAGCCTTGACTGCAACAACAAGCATCAGTTAAAGACACTAGAAATAAAACAAATCATTTTTCTTTAGAAACTAAATACCAATAATATAGAAAGAAAATCCAGTATAAAATACTTTTACTTGCAAGATCAAGGAACATATGAACGTTTTTAATGCAATTCTGCATAAAATGCTCAAAATAACCATATTAACACACAAATAGACCACCAAAACAAAAAATCAACGGAAGAACAAGCCAAACACGTCCATAGAATTTACAATATAAGTAGATAAATCGTATGAATTCAGGCATTTCTTTCAATCTTCGCATGTCACCAATTAATCACACAACCAATGAAACAGACATTCAAAAAGTTCATTTTTTTTTTTCTTTATAAAAAAAGTAAAACAAATCCAGATGATTACCCTTTCCCCGGTGGCGAGCAGCCCTCTTCCTCGGGAGGAAACCGAGGGACCCGTGCCTTGGGTGCTCAAACTTCCTGTGGGACATTTTTCGCCTCCTTCACTGCTGTAACAGCAAACAGCAATTATCAGCTTCCCGTCAAGAAAATAAATGAATTAGAACTGGCTAGTCATGTTCCAGCCCCTATGACAGTGTAGCAATAGCTTCTTCCGTGAGTCAATAGATTGCAATCCTTCAAACCAATCTAAAAAATCCTTTCATCTTCTTCTAAAACCCAGCTATTTAATTGAAAATAATCAAAAAAATACATCAAACATACAAGATGAGCTAACTGATAAACGAAAATGCGGCAGAATCATTCATGATCCACTTCGTGTGTGCGCGTGTTAAAGTAAACGAGATGAAAGAAGCTGCAGGTGTACTGTACCTGATAGCTGCAGAGCTTCACTTGAAAAACCCTACGGCGCTGGGTTCGCTGTATTTATACGATCTGTCCCAAAATGGTTTTCGGACCTATTGCTGAAGTTGGGCTAATTATTAGTTTAAGGCCCAAAAGGAAACTTCTCGACAAAAATAAAGAGTTCATATATATGACCCGTTTATAATAGACACATAACGGCCCATCGGCCCACATAACAACTTTTTTCCACAGGTGGAAAAAGACCTCGAACTTACTCGACCGTCACAGGGAAGTGGAAAGGGCAGTAGAGAAGAAGAGGAAGAAGAAGAAAGCTCCGCGGCCGCCGCGTATCTGCCATTGATGGATTTCTCAGCTTTGAACGAAGCTGTGGCGTTCAAATCATACGATCGTATCGCCGAGATTTGCGACAGTCTCATGCTGCAGGTCACCAATTACTTCCTTTCCACATTCTTAACTCTCTGCAAAACCCTAACTCTTAACCTCTTTTGTTTTTCTATCAGGTTGCATCTGAAGGTGTCGCTTATCAGGACGAGTGGCCCTACGCCATTCATCTACTCGGTCACATATACGTCAACGATATGTAATGTTTCTAGCCCTCTTGGTTGATTTTCCTGCGTTTCTGTTTCTTTTGTTTATTTGTGAATTTTTTGTTGGTTGGTTGTTCGGGTTTATAGCAATAGCGCGAGGTTTTTGTGGAAGAAGGTGCCATCGGCGGTGAAGGTGTGCCAGCCAGAGGTGTCTGCCGTGTGGAAAATCGGCCAGAAGCTCTGGATTAAGGACTATGGAGGTGTTCACGAGGCTATCCGTGAGTTTAATTGGACTCCACAGACTCGGGAAATAGTCGAAGCCTTCTCTGGTAAGTCGCATTTGACTCCCCTGCATTGATGTGGTATTATCAAGTTGATTTGTGTTGTTACTTCACTACGAACGATGGTGTCAAGGTTGTTCGATGGAGATTGGCAAGTAATGTGTGTTCATGTCTTTGGCTGCAATTTTTGAATGTAACATCAATGTATGCAATGAGTGCTGCAAACCTTGCTGCCTAAACTAGGAATATCAGATTAGACCCTGCATTTGGTATGGCATGAAGAAGAAATTTTCTTGAGCATTGGTTGATGTATGCATTTTATTCTACGAGGATAGGAATTACTACGCTTTATACTAGTGTGGAGGTTTTGATACCCTTTTGTCTCATTGGTTACATACTATAATCCAAGTCCTCAAGGTTGTGGTCATGTAACTCTTTAGGTGAAGGGGCCTAACCAGTAGTTTCTGGAAACTACAGAGTTCTATTTTGGATCTTATGGTACAACATGAAGGACCACTTGTCCATCGATGCTCAAATGAATGCATTATACAGGAGAGCAATTGCTGAGCGTACGAAAGCATTTGTCATCCATACAATATTAATTAGAATATGATTAACAGAATACCTTTAGTGCCTTGTCAATGGTGCTATATTTGTAGATCATAAAATTTCTTTATTGTTTTACCAAATTATACTAGTAACCATAGTACCATACACCCATTTACCCCTTCCTGTAGATAACTTGAATGAAACATGAAATGGCAGTTGCATCTCAAAGAAAAGCTCATGTCTGAGATTAGTCCTCTCCTATAAGCATCTATGTATCATTTTCTTAATACCTGGAATGGTCCTTAGTGTTATGTCCTCCGTCCAAAGCAGAGGTTTCATGGGACATTTTACCTTCTGTATTCACCATTCAGTTTTTGCTAATTAAATATGAGTACTAGAAACGAATTCTTGTTAAAGAATACTATTGTTTTCTAATTTACTGTAGAGCTTTATACTAAAAGGATGTTTGACCTGCTGCTCTCTGCTTATTCCACAATAAGCATTCAAGACACGGCTGTTTTCCTAGGGATGAAGGAAGATGACGCCACAAACTGTGAGCTCCCCTTTTTTCTTATGCCGCTTTTCATACGTCAAATAATACCCATTAGGCTCGGGGTATTGTGGGTTATCAATGTCTTATTCTTTGTTGTCTTATTTTTGTGAGATACGGTTCTGTCCAAAAGGAGTTCAATACATATTGTTGTTTTTGCTCTTTCCAGATGCACTTGGACATGGTTGGACAGTGGACCCTGTGACCCAAATGCTCACCGTGCAAAAGCAAGCAGTTGCGAACGAGCAAAAGCTGGATCCGAGTAAATTGCAACGGCTGACTGAATACGTTTTTCACCTTGAGCACTGATTTTAGAAAAATGCTAGTGCATTTAGGTAAATCAGTTGGTTAAGTCTGTTAGACTGTAAGTTGGCTTTAAGTTGCACCTAATGATGTTTCCTTGGGCTCGTTACATTACCATTTGAGCTTTGTGCTTTTGCTCCATATCAATTTATGTACGGTCCTTGCTTTGTGCTTTTGCTCCATATCAATTTATGTACGGTCCTTACTTTTGTGATGTCACTTTTTGTGTGGTTCATTTACGTATTAGTGACCCGAATTCAAACAAAACTAATTGTAGTATAGATATATATCTGCATATTAAGCACAACATGTTGCTGTTATCCCAATTTAAAAGAAAACAAAAGGTTCCTGGGCGAAAAGAACCCCTCTGGGCTATGGGCTATGATATCAACGAACTTTTGAGTTGTAACATCACATTAAACGGTGCTGACATTGCAACTCAAAAGGTCTTTTTGTCAAACAACAATAATAAGCTCAAAATGGAAAAAGGGTTATGTCTAATATAATAGTTGAACCCTAATAAACCTAGTACTACAACTGAACTATCATGAATGTAGGAGATAGTTCAAAACCAAAAATAGTTGAACCCTAATAAACCAAGTACTACAACTGAACTAACATTAAAAA